TATGTTTTTAGGTGGGAAAATCCACCTGAAAACTTAATTCAACAGCAGCCTCTGGCCGGGTCACCTCCTCCCGGTTCACCGAGGCAGCTGGTAGGTGTTTTTCATCAAAATAATCCAAACTGCAGGCACCAGGATAATCAAAGCGAACATATTCTGTCGGCAGGTTTCAGCATTTTAAGTTAATTTAGGCGTTAATAAACTGTTTAAGAGGAGCGATCACAGCACTCTGTGTCATCAGCAATGTCTTGCGATGTCTCGCTGTCAGCTCCAAGATCAGCTTGTCTGATTGGTACCTCTATTTAAAAATAGAGCGGGGGCAAAACTAAGTATGTTTGTGCTTTATTCATGTATTTATTACAAAGTATTAATCAAACCTGGGAGCTGGCCGTGAGACAGACACATCGCTGATGACACAGAGCGCTGTGATCACTCTTCTGAAACAGTTTATTGACGCATGAATTAACTTAAAATTAGTCCAAATGCATGTTGTTGTCACTAGCATTACCTTTCTAGAAGGGTAGTTTTAGAAGGGGAGTGTTGGCCTAGTGGCTAGATCAGTGCACTTTTGCTCTAAGAAGGTTGCAACTACCCAGTGTGATCCCCTCAGCCTCCACTCTGGGTTCCTGAGCAAGACCCGTAACCCTGCTCCTGCATGCCATAAGGGGATGGGTTAGATGCAGAGGTACATTTCTCCAATGTTAGACCATTAAAGTTAAATTATTAGTATTCTGGTTCATTATGTCGGGCTCTCATATAAAATACATGTTTGTTCATATATTTACTCGTAGTTTGTAAATGTATTGCATTAATATCTATAGGGTTACAGCTTATGTTACTATTGGAAACTGCTGTAAACTCTTACCTCCCACAGTGTGATTGGTACACTCTGCTTTGGAAGATAGAGTCTGAGCTTTATTGACTGGTTTCATCTCATTCAGGTGGAACCAAGAGGGAAGCTCATTTGCATTTAAAGAGCTCGCATTAAAACAAGATGTTCAAAGATGCATCTTAGAAAAATCAGTAAAACAGATGCCTGATGAGATGCAATAATTACAAATTCAGATCAAAGCATTGGAATTCTTTAACACACACATACTAAGTGATTTAGATAGGAAGAAACAGGATTTTAAACAAAATTCAAGCTTAAATTCAACCACATTTGGGGGGCTGAGGTATTCACAGTTGGTGTTATTTTATTTTCATTAACGCTGTCACAAGTAGAGAGCAACGAAATTTACTCTCTGTCTTTAACCCATCCCCTAGGGAAGCAGTGGGCTGCCATTGTGCGGCGCCTGGGGAGCGGTGTGGGGTTAAAGGTCTTTGCTCAGGGACCCAGAGTGGCATTATAAGTTTTGAGT